TCAATACGACAAATTGAACTGAATTTTCGTCATTTTTGAATGATCTCAGGCAACTCTTGAGAATATGTAGCTGGAAATTAGCTTCTTTGTTTTACGATAAATGATTTATAGACAATTTTATCTCAGTTCCTGCTCCGTATCGGGATGGACTACGGTTAGAATAACCGCCATTTCAAAAATATTTCTCTGGGGTTTCGTTTGCCTCACAGCTTTTAATGGTCTTTCCAATGGAGTGGYYASAACRGTTCAGACATCTTYGAATGCTAGTTCCTCCGATCCAGGTCAAAGTAAGTGCTTATTTGAGTCTTGTTGCAATATAGATTGTCATAATACATCTTATATATAAACCATATACATTATCACATCAAAGAGAAATCCCAAAATACTTCTTACAACAGAACTCCATTCACATGTTTTAGTCTTTGAAAGCTTAGACAAAAGCTATAGCTTTAACCTCATAAAATCAAATCGTCGAACAAAAGAGAAAAGCTCGAGGCTTTGTTTGCTAATAAACGTTGTTGTAATAATTCATGTGAAGCGAGACTGAGCCCCGTCAATTGCCACTAAAAATATGGTACTTTATTAAATACAAGATTTCCGTCGATCGCAGCCTTAACATATTCATTTTTTTCATACTCAAAAACTTGACATTAAAAATGTTTATAACGATCAATAAACACCTATAAAACAGCTTTAAGCTACYTTGTGAAATTTTGAGCTCGTACACAACATACACTAGCTCCTTATGAAATGAATATATACTTTGTTTAAGATTATTTTTCTGTGAAAACTTTGTCAACTGTGATACCAGTCGCAATTTGAATATAAATATCAAACAGGGTAAATTATTAATGAACATGCGACACAGCAAGTGTCAATTCTGTGTCTTCTCATGTTACATTGTTCGTTATTATTATATTATTATATTTATAAATTGAAGACAAAGTCAGATGCTATCTTTTACTAAATGAAAACAGTGCAGCATAGCGTGCAAGAGGTAGCATTGCTTGATACTTCCAGAGTCTTTGTTGTGWTAATTTTCGTTTTGAAAAGTGCTGAGCGAGTGTTGGACTTTTTTAAGTACATGCAATGTCAATGCAATGTTTGTTATCATTTGTTAACAACGACTTTTTGATAGTTGGATGACACCTTTGAGAAATATAGTAAAGTAATATTTTATGCAATTAACTCGGTAACCTACAGGGACCCAGGGGGACAGTGGGAACAGCAGYTAAACAGGCACTRTCATTATTATAATGACGGCTTTTTGTTTTAGACAAAACAAAAACGAAGATTCCGTGATCATAAACTAACCATTTGCAACAATATTGTTTTTTTATTACAAAAACGAAGGCATTTGGTATTCCAAAAGGGCTTGCTTCCTACCTTCTCTTCGAGTAAAAAAAAAAAACAATATTAACGAGCTATTTACACTCWAAAATTGAAAATACAAATGAACTGACGTCCTGATATACCAGGAAAGGGATTAGAAAAGATCATTAGAAGGGATACTCCAATTAGTTTGAAACTTTTATTATAAGAAACCTCTCCCACGGTTATAAAAAGAAACAGAAAAACTAAAAGTTCAATAAGTATAAACTTTATTCAGCTGTTTCGAATGCCATTCCACTATCTAATCTGAAAAAAAATTTCCCATTGAAAATGTATTGCAAATAATCATATGCATTGTCAAAGGAATATGTCCCGTGCAAAGAAGTGAATGTCAAATACTKATATTGATTTTCCTTGAAATCTCYCATCTCGCGTTCCTAGTAACAAATAAGCCATCCAGAAACTTTCATTTTTAGAGAGCAAATTCTATTTATGCTGCCTCAAAAGAATCTTATTGAAAAATGCTATAATCTCGAACACATAATCTTTTAAGATAATGAAGTTTTCCTGAATAGATTAAATAGACTCCCAAAATTKGAATGTTTTATTTTTCATGTACGGTTGCCAGGAGACGTAAAATATCCACTTTGTCAAATAAAGAATCACTATTCAACTCATTGTCTTAATTAGACGTATTTCGCATGAAAATAGTCAATGGAAAATAATATATACAAGTTTAACTTTTCTTTTCTTTTTACGTTCATTATATAGAATGTGCCATCGCTCTGGTTTAATGAGTTTTCAATCAAATGAGACAAATTTTAGTTGGACGTCGAATTGTGAAACTGTTCTGTGTCAATCAGTTCGAGAGGTGCAAATCCGGAAATTTCACAAAACTGCTTTCAACCGTTATAAGTCTCACTTAAAAATAACATATGCCTGTCTTGGAAAATGACGACCGAGTTCTGCGTTCTAATTATAAAATCAATGATTTAAGAAAAATCCCTAACTAACTCCCTAATCACGACTTTTGATAATGAAAGAAAATGATAGATTAACACTAAAAAATGAACWTGAATAGAAAAAATTATACGTTTTAACGTGTTCGTCAGTTTTGTATTCTGGGATCTGCAAAAACAATTTCCAAAAAACCTAACTATATCGTATTTTTTTTTAAATATCCACTCCCATCAAATGTGGCCCCATTCCCCACCTCAACCCCCTCACCCTCAACTCCCCCCCCCACCATATCAAACTAAATTTGTAAATTACTGGAATCGATTTAAGATCTTCAATTTTCAGATGCATTTAGTGCTTCATCTTACCCAAGATCATCGTCTTCTACTAGCAACACATCTCAGACTTCAACCTTCGCTTCGCCTTCTTCTTTGTCCACAACATATAGCAACAATGGACTAATGATTAGCTCTGTTGCTGTGCTATCTTCTCCAACGATCAACAGCCTTACTTTCAGCAGTGCACATACAATCCGCAGTTCTATACTAATGAATAGCGCTGTCTCTTTACCATCATCTTCCGTAAGCATCAGTCCTAGYACAGCWCATGTGATGAACACTTCGACGATGATGCATGCTACTGTGGTTCARCMATCTCCTTCCGTGAGCATCGGTCTTAGCAGTACACATGTCATGAAAACGTCGATAATTGTKAATGCTACTGTTGTTCCGCTATCTTCTTCTATCAACACCACTTCTAGCAGTAGACAGGTGATGAACACTTCGATGATGGTTAATTCTACTGTCTTTGTACCGTCTTCTTCCGTCATCATCAGTCCTAGTAGTACACATGTCATGAACACTTCGATGTTGGTTAATGGTACTGTCGTTGCACCATCTTCTTCAGTCAGCATCAGTCCTAGAAGTACACATGTCATGAAGACTTCGATGATGGTTAATGGTACTGCCGTTGCACCATATTCATCCATCAGTATCAGTCATAGCAGTACTCATGTCAGGAACACTTCGATGATGGTTAATGGTACTGCCGTTGCACCATCTCCTTCCATAAGCATCAGTTCTAGAAGTACTCATGTCATGAACACTTCGATGATGGTTAATTCTACTGCTGTTGCACCATCTTCTTCCATAAGCATCAGTCCTAGCAGTACTCATGTCATGAACACTTCGATACTGGTTAATTCTACTGCCGTTGCGCCATCCTCAGCCAGCATCAGTCCTAGCAAAACACTTGTCATGAAGACTTCGATGATGGTTAATGCTACTACCGTTGCACCATCTTCTTCCATAAGCATCAGCCCTAGAATTACTCATGTCATGAACACCTCCAAGATGTTTAATGGTACTGCCGTTTCACCATCTTCTTCCGTCGTAATCAGTCCTAGTAGTACACATGTCATG